CCCCCCCCCGGGAACCACCGCTTAGTCCCAGGCCGAGCGTGCCTGACAAATTCATGAATATTTACACGACTTGACCTTTACGGTACGTCGATACTGGCAGAGAAACAGAGAAACATGCTGGGATTTTTGCGGAACCTCACTGATGGGACTGCTGGCGGGAAACTGGGGGTGGGGGGGTGTCTGAAGAACTGAGGTTGGCTCTGGTAGTGAAGGGTTTGATTTGTTGACTTGAGTCAGAGTGAAGAGAAGCACATCGACCAAATTCTGGCAGGCAGAATGGCAAGAAACAGGGTGGTTCTTCTTTTTTCTTTTTTTTTGTGTACAGGAATGTCGGAGAAACAACGTCCAACTACATGTACAAGGAAAACTAAGATGGAGTTGTGCCAGAACAGTTTTAGATTTAGTAAGGGTTGCACTCGCGAGACAATAAGGTCATATACATGCAGAAGATTAGACTCTTACAAGAGCAGAGCTGCCTTCCCACAATCATTTATTGTTTTAATAATCACCAAATTTAAAATATAAAAAAATTAATCTGGTAGAACAGTTCGTAATATGATCATGGATAGTCTTTTCTCTGGGGTGTCAATGACATGAGTTGTAGATTAAAGGATTTTTTTTTTTTGGTAAGTGTTTTACGGCGCTCACAACTGCAAAATGTCAAATGAGCGCGCGGGACACATTAAACATTTTCAGTTTGAGCAAAATTTGAATTTTGCCCGGGTCGCGGCCGACGCCTACTCTTATCGATTTTGGACCACCAAGGGTTTTTTAACGTGCGCAACTTGCATACGGGACCTCCGACATTTTCGGAGAAGGCTAGGTGTTCGATCTTACCTACCATAAGATCAGGGGTGTGGCTGAAAGACAGCAGTAAGAAGCAGCCAGCAAGGAGTAGCAGTAGACAGGCTGCAGAAAGTCAGGATCCCAGAGGAGGGGGCAAAGGACGTGATGGGGTGGAGAGCAAGAAACGAAGTGAAAGGAGAAAATTTTAGAAAAGAAAAAAATATTCTCTAAACTTTCCCCGTCGCTATCCGGATTCGAACGCCTGACCTATTGAATGAGAAGCGGACATCGCAACCTCTCGACAACGAGAACACCCCAAGGGCTCTGTGCACAGAGGGTGTTGACAAGCGTACGTGTTGTTGTAGTGGCGTAGAGTGAGGGGTCGGATTGGTTTTCTTCCTTATAATCCAAGAGGATGGGATTGAGTTGGGGTAGCAGAACGGCTGTTACATTTTGAAAAAAACAAACAACGGAATCAAGAGTGTAATGATCGTATTTTCATAAAATCGAGAAAAAAAATTTGACGGCTCCGCCTAATTCGTAATAGTGGGCAGCCCTGCAAGAAAGAAGCAACCCCACCCCCTAAAAAAAATAAAATAAAAAACAACAACAACAAAACAAAACAACAACAACAAAACAAAACAAAACAAAAAAACACAAGGAGGAAAGAATATATATAAGGACGACAGATGTTTGATAGAAAAGAATGAGAAAACCATACCAGAGCACCCACCAACCGCCCACAGTGTTAATATAAAGCAAGATCGATCGACGAACAGTAGAAGTCTGTAAGAGAGAAGAGAAGCGCATCGATACAATAACGGCCATTGAGTGCATGGAAACAGTACTCCAGGGATACAGAAACAACAGAAGCAAAGACGAAACGTTGGAGTTACCAGCCTCCAAACACCAGTGGACAAGAAGTAGGGCCGCTAGCAAGAATGTGGAAAGGTGGGGTGGGTGGGTGGGGGGGGGATACACTATATTATAGTATCAAGTAGTGTATGATTCCGGGGGAAGCTATCAGAGCCGCACACTTTCAAACAACCGGTGAAGGTACAGTGTATTCGTGCTTGGAAAGACCAAGACAAAACGAAGACCGCAAAGGGAAAGAAATGAAGTGAGAATTTTCAGTGGTGCTCGCCAACCATACATCAACAATAAACGGGACTTCCTGCGGGAAGACAAGGGAGAAAGAGAAGGCCTACTGTAGCTTTTTTCCACAAGGGAGAAAGAGAAGGCCTACTGTAGCTTTTTTCCACAAGGGAGAAAGAGAAGGCCTACTGTAGCTTTTTTCCACAAGGGAGAAAGAGAAGGCCTACTGTAGCTTTTTCCACAAGGGAAAAAGAGAAGGCCTACTGTAGCTTTTTTCCACAAGGGAGAAAGAGAAGGCCTACTGTAGCTTTTTTCCACAAGGGAGAAAGAGAAGGCCTACTGTAGCTTTTTTCCACAAGGAAGAAAGAGAAGGCCTACTGTAGCCTTTTTTCCACAAGGGAGAAAGAGAAGGCCTACTGTAGCCTTTTTTCCTGTTTAATTTTTGAAAAGGGTGTTAAACTCCCATCGGCACAATTGAGATAATGTAGAAGGCAGACTTTGATCCTGAGCCCTGTGGGGACCAACCTGGGCTGAGAAGGATACAACTTCCAAGCAGAATGAATGAGAAACCCGTGACAAAATTTGCTAGCCTGAAGTGAAACGCATCTCAAGGGAGCTTATTGTGGAAACGGCTTGGATGCTTTAGGAGGGGGGGGGGGGGAGACTACACCCCGAAAGAAGTCCCGATTCAGCTGAAAATTATGGATATTGAGTTGTAGGAATTTTTAGCTTCTTCAGCCTCTCCTACAACTATTTCATCGCCTAAGAATCCCCTAAAGCCTTATTCCTTCCCATACCCGGCATGTTTGTCACCACCATTTCCTCATAAGGTCACGCTTTTATTTTTGTTTATTGCCCTTTTTCTCAAAGCGCGGTTTTGCTATAAACTTTTTTGTTTTGGAATAACTCCTCCATTTTCCATCCAATCTTCATGAATTTTTCACAGAAAGAAGAAAAGATGTAATACTAGATCTAAACATTTGTTTGTGGATTTTTTAAAATACATAGATCTAGAATAGATTTTGTTGTTGGTGTCTGGAGTGTGGATGTTCACGGATTTTTGCAAACTTGAATACTACCTCAGG